AGCAGGAAAATATTTATTGATTTTCCTGAACTTTGGGTCAGGCTTAAAGTGATTCAACTGAAAATGAGAGGAATTTTTCTTATTTTTCTAATCTCATTTACTGTGATTGTAAGTGCTATTTGTAATACCGATACATAAGAAACTTTCATATATAAGTTAATGGAGTCCTTTAAAATGAATGTAATGCCCTCTTCTAGCCTCTGTTCAGGTCTTTGAAATCAGTGGCATAACTCCCAATGTGGAATAACTGTGTTGCTAATATATTAAGAAAGCACTTGCACATGGCTATATTTAGCATTTTGTGGTCTCTCTCATTTAACTGCATAACCACTGTATCTCCTTTTTCCTGACACAAATGTGGAAAACTTCAGTTGAATCCTTTTCGGCAAACCACAAACTCCATATAACATTGGAGTCAGGGAAAACACACCAGCACAGCTTTAGAGAGTTTGTTTTTACAGTGCTTTGAGATGTCACTGCAAATGCCAATGCTATTAGCAACAAAAATGACAAAGCTTCACTGCTGCTGTGGCATATATAATTTATATCCCCTGATCGCATTATGATTTAAATAATTGTCTTGTCACCTTTAAGGTTTGTATTTTTATCATAATAATGAAAAAGCTATGCTGGGTAAATAGAACTATTTTTTATTTAAAATTTGAAAGTAACAGAAAGCCATGACTGAATATATTAAAGGAAAAGTTAGATTGTAAACTATGAATAATATATAATTTCAGTAAAACAGTCAGATTATAATCTCCTTACTGTGAATCACTTTTGATGAGTTCTATTTTAATCTTTCACCAAAGGTTTGGGCTGACAATGTGATTGATTAGGCAGGTTAGGAAAAAGCTTCAAACCATTTTCCAGAATAACTGTCAATACATGTGTGCAGAGAATCAGTTCTTTATAAGGCACCAAACAAAGCACATAATAAAGGATTTGTTTAGCTGCCAAAAATAATGCATGTGAAAAGAAACTCCTTTCACTCTGGACCGGACTTCAAAATCCTGTATATCTTGCCCTCCTGCTGTAAGGTGACGGGTAACGTAGGTGAGCCTAAGCCACCCTCCTGAACAGTCAGTGGAATAGGAACAGACCAAAGACGGGTAGGGGTGAATGGCTTCAACACTTTACATTTTAGCTATTCTGAACTGTGGAACAGAACAAAGGCAATCTGTACAAGCTGCTGTAAATCAGAGCACCACTGGGAGCTGCCCTAACTTATTCTTCAGGCTATGCCAGCTCAGAAGCAGCCCAGAATTAGGAAAACACTTTTTTTTTTCTGATACATGCATCAACAACTAATTTTGCACTATGGTGCAATAATTGTTTTCATTGTACACATTCAACATCTAGCAAACTGGAAATCCCATCTATTTAATGGAAAGTTGGTAGTTATATTGAAATTACATGAAAATAACCTAATAAATAGGAGCTGAAAGGAGGTATTTGCAATAAACCTACCTCATCCTTTGCCACACAACTATTCAGCATTTTCTCTAAACTTTCATTAACAAGAGATCAGTCATCTAATGTTATGCAATACTCATGACAACTTTTCCTTTTGGGGGCTGAATGGGAAATATTATAATAGACACATACAGTTGCAAGGCACATGCAGCTGCTCTGTAATATTGTACACTGGTTTCTCTCTCAGCTTTCCAAAGTTGGTGTGCACACAGACTAGTTGGTAAAGCCTAGACTCTGATGCAGTTCCTACTGAACATCGACTGCTGTGCAGCCTTTTGAAGATGTGTATGAAAATAGGCGAGGAGCACAAAGCTACTCCACTCAAGAAGAGAAGAGAAATGGTGTGCTATCTGAGAGGGTGTGTCTAGACTACAGGGTTTTGTTGACAAAGCAGCTTGCTTTGTCGACAGAACTGAATGTAGGGTACGTCTAGACTACAGGGTTTTGTCGACAGAAGTTGTGTCGACAGATACTGTCGACAAAGCTTCTGTCAACAAAGAGCGTCTAGACTACATTCAGTTCTGTCGATAAAGCAAGCTGCTTTGTCGACAAAACCCTGTAGTCTAGACACAACCCTAGATGCAATAACACCTTCTGTCGACAGAACTCTGTCGAGAAAAGGCGTTATGCCTCGTAAAATTAGGTTTACCAGCGTCGACAAAACTGCTGAGTTCTGTCGACGTTATGTCGACAGAACTCAGCGGTAGTGTAGACGCAGGTATAGTTTTGTCGACAAAAGTCCACTTTTGTCGACAAAACTCTGTAGTCTAGACACACCCGTAGTCTAGACGCTCTTTGTTGACAGAAGCTTTGTCGACAGTATCTGTCGACACAACTTCTGTCGACAAAACCCTGTAGTCTAGACGTACCCTAAGTGATTAATCTTGATGAGTAAAGCTGCACAATAGTGTATTTTTCACTTGGTGGCTGAAACCATAACCAAAACCTGAAATTTTTTAATACTATTATTTGTGTTTCATTTTCATTTTGACCCTTTGGGTTTTATTTGTGTGGTTTTTTTTTTTTAAGTAAATCTAATTTTCAAAATGAAACATTGGCTTGAAACAAAGTCAAGATGTTTCATCTCAAAAACAGTCTGAAAAAAATTACTGATCAAAATGATTAGTTAAATTTAATCTCAGTTTCTGAATAGTTTTAATCGAACTAGGGGAATAAACTATTTATCTGAACAAATTACTCTGCTGTACTAGGCTGGTCTTGGACAAATGACACTTTCCAATAAAGCCAAAAGAAAAGGACTTTTAGATTAAGGGAAACCATCACTTTGTTATACAGCCGGTCCCTGACTTACAAACACATCGACGTTCGACCACCAACTCTTACAACCGGCCTCCCATTAAGCACAACCCTGACTTATGAATGGTTATCTGCACTTACGAACAGTGTGGTCCCATTGAAATGAATCAGGTCCAACTTACAAACACATTGAGTTACGACCAAGTGCTTGGAACATAACTTGTTCGTAAGTCGGGGATGGGCTGTAATCTATTTGAAACACAATGACAAGGAAAATGGATAACCATGGTGGAAAAAAATAAGAATGGGGAGTCTATTCATCAACGGCTTGCTCTCAGGGCTTAGACTAATGATATGAATTTACTGTCCACATCAGGTTCTGTTTTCATTAATTTCCAGGATGACAAACAGAAGATATTATTAAATTTGGCAGCATATTTTTAAGCATTACATATACTAGACACGTGATCTTAATGTCAACATGAAGATCGGGAGTGAAATATGGAAAATGAAGGGATACATCACATCACAGGTAATGAGATCTTCTGATTTTTTAAAGCTAGGAGTAAAGATGTGTTGAAGAAAATTACCCATTATTCTATCCCCATAGTTATTTATAGTAAATGAAGGTTACTTGACAGCAAAGTGACAAATTACCCTCCAACACTGAAGGAAAATAGTTTAAAAGTTCAACACTGCAAAATTGCTAAGGCAGACCCATGTGTGCAAAGAAATATACCCCATACTTTTATTAAGTGTCAAACCAGAAGGAGATGGAAGACTGACCTTGGATCGTGGTGGTGCTCGGATGTACCATTTACAGTCAACTGCTTCCGTGTCAGAAGCTTTTCCTTCCTTCACAATTTGCACAGATTCCACAATTCCTTCAGGTCCTCCCATCTCAAACTCACAAACTGAACAACAAAATACCATAATAATGAAACCTGAACAGCAAGCAAAAAATATTTTCTACAGCAGGAGGCAAAGGCCTCTACGTTTTATGAAATATCTAACATACCAACCTGGCAACGGTTTCAAAACTCCCAAGTCCTTAAAGTCTGGATCTTAAAAATTTAGAAAGAGAAAATTAGTCTAGTTCAATACTTCAGTTATAACACTGAGCGAATTTTCATTAGAACATTGCGAGCAACTGTGGAAAAATAATTACACACATTTCCCCAAAACTTTTAAAGGCCACAGCAACAATTGATAATATGCAATATTTTACTATTAAACTCTTATTTTCCATCATGCAAATTTGCTATGGTCATAATTTTCTTGGTCTCCAGACCCATCTCTTAGCACTGAATAAAAGATTTTTTTCAGGATATAATAGGGGGCAGGAGCATCAGACAGCCATCCTTTTGAGGTTTTGATGCAGCAATCACATGCAAGTGGTTCTCTCTCCATATGTTCCATGCCAAATCCCCTTATCTATTTCACAAATCCTTGCACAACACAGTCACCATGGCTAGAAGACCTTACACAATAGTTTAGGATATCTGAATGATCTGCAACCCTAGTTGATAGTGGCTCAACTACTGCACTGTTTTGGCCAAAAAAAACCAAAACCAAACAAAAAAAATCGGCCCTTTCATACATGCCATACCATTTTTCCAGAGACTACATTCAGTGAAGAAAGTTAACAAATATAAATGCAGCCTGCTGTTTTAGTGCAAACACACACATGACTTTCAAATTTCAGAGACACTTTGTATCCTATTCCTAGCCAAGTACATGACTTATGTGAAACAAGGTTGGTCTTCGCTCTGTTTCCCAGTAGACAGATATCACATTATGCAAATCAACATATCACAAAGTTTGGCACAGTAAGATGATGCTGTTGAAGAGAAGCCCAAAACTGATATGTAAAAGGGACTAAAATATTTCAAGAGAAGATGATCTCTTGAGATTAGATTAGATTAGTCACTGCTTAGGAATAGTGTATCTTGCATCATCATTCTCCTTGATATGCATGTTCCAGCTTTCCAGAGGCTGTCTCTATCTTCCTGAGAAAGAAAAACAAGAAAAAAGAAGCAGCTGGTTTTGTTATTTTTGTCAAAATTCATAAGATTTGGTCTCATATTGATGAAAAATACTTATAGGAAACCCATTTCAATGACTTCTGGACTTTTCAGAATTCTGACTCAGGATTTGCCCAGACTTGATTGGGATAGTTCAAGATATAAGCCATGGGAGAGTTTGGTCCAATGAGTTAGTGTATTTGAAAGATTCTATTACATTGTCTCAGATTTTCATTGTCTCATTGTATCAAAAGCATGAAACATCTTCAGAAACATGGAAATGGAGCAAAATTTCTGCAATTCCATCTCAACTAGGCCTAGTCAAGCAATACAAGCACAACAAGAAAGAATGTTTAGTTAACTGATCCAGTAATGATATATTGGCTTTAAAAATTAAATCTGTAAAAACACCTTGTGAAACTGCATATTTTGCTTTGTATGCATTCGTGTTCTCTCCAATTATATTTTGATGTTTCAGAATATAATCGTAGGTAAATGCCCATAAACTAAAGGGATTGCACAGACATATCTGAGCAGACAACCAGCATTAATTGTTAAGCAGAAGACATTTTACAGAACAATGCTAAACTTAATTAAATGTGCTAGTTAATGAATTTTCATATCAATGCCTATAGCTGATAGCAAGACATTTATATAACTGGAATATATTTAATTCAACTACCAACTCAAATTAACATACAAATCATAGAGTCCGATGTACAATGCAGTCATTCAGTTTTCTCTAATAGCTGCTTTTAAATCTTCATGGGTGGGATTCTCATCTTTCAGACCACTTCGTGTTGCATGTGTGTCACATTCTGCCTGGAGAAGAACAGTAGAGAATTCTTCCTTTGCCAGGGAACTCCTGAGTAGTAGAGGGGGCTCTGTCATCTCCTGCTACAGACGCCCCCTCACAATGTAAGGGGAGGGGATAGTGATGTGGGCAGGAGAGAGAAATGGCAAGGGCCTGGCAAAGATGGACTCTGATGCACAAATCCTTGTCGAAGAAAATTACATCCACCCCTTATGCAGAGGCATCTTGCTCTTGAACTGAGAGGCTCTAAATCAACAGCCTCCCTATTGTCCCTGTCTCAGACAGAGTGTGGACTCAGGTGCAGGTGGTTGTATTCATTTTAATCTCAAAGGGGGGAGGTGTTATTTGGAATATTCATAATAAGATTTAAATAAGTCAGTTCAGTACAAGTGCCTAGCACAGCCTCATCAATTTCTTGTCTTCAGTTAGCAAGAGTCAGACCCTTCATACCCCCCACACACACTGTGCCTGAGGATTGCCATAGATGCTTCCAGAAGGAAGAGGGTCATTGTGGCCGTGGTTTACTTTTGCTGAGTATAGGTCCTTCACAGCCTCTCTCAACCCTCCTCTGGATTGTCCCAGAACTTTTAAGTGGGGATAAGAGGAAAGTGGGGACAATTTCCCGAGGATAAAGTATCACATGAAGGAATACAAAATATATGATGACACACTAGAAAACAAAGGTTTCCATCTGTAAGCCCTAGACAGAAGTAGAGTTGGAAAAATTCTGTACTTTGATCAAAGATTCTGTGAAGATTTTCAACTAGAAAATGAAACTACCCTTTTAAAAAAAATGACTCAACTGGAAGAGACTAGCACAGATCAAGATAAAGTATGACACTTCTGCTGTAGTCTCTTGATTTAAAACTCACCCCACATGCTGTTTCCTTAGATGACTTTCTCCTGTGTCTTACTTATTTCTTCTTTCACTGGCTTATAGAATTTTAAGGCCAGAATGGACCATTATGATCATCTGTCCTGATCTGTTGCATAGCACACAGGCCCAGTAATTTCATCCAGTAATTCTTGTATCAAGTCCAATCAGAGCCAGAGTACAGGCTCACTTGTTCTAAATTTTAAATCAACTCATGTGGAAGTTCCTTGAGCTTGATTTCGAGATGCTGAAGATTTGCAGCTCCCCTGGACTTATACTGGAGATGTGAATGCAGAGGACTTTTGAAAGATGTGCCCTTCTGTAGCTTTTCTGGAGCAAAATAATGAGGCTTGATCTTGAGATTAAAGAAAAACTAAGGTGCCCAGATGCTACTTCACATCAGCTCCATTAACTATAAACATCTGAGGCACAAATACATAATAAATAAAGCAACAACACAGAATAGAAGTTACACATTATAAACGATGCTGAAATGTAAACCATGTTCAAACAGTTTGTTATTTGAAAACCCATAGCTAGCAGATTTATTGTTTGTTTTTAAATATCACACTAAATGGTTTATATTTGAAGGCTGCTGTTTATGATTTAATAAAACAGATGGTGCTGTTCGTTATTAGCTCTGCTCAGAGTAAAGCAGAGAAGAACCTTTGTTAAGTTATTTATATATTGAGTTGCCAGATCTTCTGAGTGGTAACAAACATGCTGTTGCTTGCAGATGGAGGAAACAATGAGTAAATCCAGGAGGCACAACAAGGGAGAAGAACAGGACAGAGGAACCTCTAAGGGAAACTGGAGAGCATCAGAAAGTAACTGAGGGAATCTCTAGAAGGGATATAGCATAGAGTA